TCCCCAGCCCTCCCACAATCAGAAGGGGCATTAGGAGACTTTAAAAAGAACATCGAACACTATATGGACTGGAAAATATTGTAAAGGGTGAGCCATTTCCACTCTCACTTCAACCCTTTCCACAACATTATGTTTACTTAGAGAACGCAAGCCAACCAATGCTCTCACATCCATGCTTTTCTATCTCAACTGGTTGTCATGCACACCATTCCCTCATTCCTGGCTACCCAAAGAAGACAATGGCCAGTCCAGATCACATCTAGAGAGAAAAATAGAGAAAACTAATGTGAGACTCAGGAGGTTTTGGCTTCAACAAGCAAATATTCTGCAAGTGCAGGAACAAGAACAATGGTTATTGTTGTTGTTGACCATTAAGTCCACTTTGACCTTGTGAATGAGTGATCTCCAAGAGTCTTGGTCATCAACTGTCCTGCTCCAGTCTTTCAAATTCGGAATCATGGTTTCCTTTATTAAATCAACCCAACTATAATATGGTTGTCTTCATACATAATTGTATTCCACTTCACCAAACAATATTGTGTTTTCCAATAAGTCACCTTGTCTCATGATATGTCCAAAGCACGACAGCCTCCGTTTACTCATCTTGGCTTCTACTAAAAGATGAGACATGATTTGCTCGAAGATTTGCCCTTAATTTGCCATTTTTGCAATCCACTGTACCCACAGAACTTTTTTGCTATCCAGCTGTAGTTATATATCATAACATGCTGTGTAGCTGGTAGTCACTTCTATGGAGGAGAAAAGTTTCCTTGAACCTGCCCCAGTATTTCATGAAATCAACATCAAATATTACAAAATGATGTTTGATATAAAAAACTTCTGATGTTTTCCCGTGTCAACTGCTTTAGAAATAGCCCAACCTTTAAAAAAAAGGCAGTACTAACCATGTGTGATTTACACATAAAGCCACATGCTTTTTCTCCTCCCCACCCCCAATTTCTAAGTATGCCAAGAGGTTAATGTAGTTGGGCTAAGGTCTATCCTTACCAAACATATTGAAAACAACAAATGTGTAACACTGTTGTCCTACACAAGAGGCTGTCATTTGTTTTGCAAGGAACCTGGTCATCAATAAATAAATAAGACACTATTCAAAAATCAATTATTGGTAGCCTTTTGTATGGAGGAGTACCACACCTTTCAGACAACTGGTATTAATGACCAGGCATGACTATAGAATCACCATCCGTTTTTCTGACAAAGCTGCAACTAGGCTGGCCTCTCATTGAAATTCCATTAATCTGGTGCAACTCGGCCCACTGTGAAAATCAAAACTCCATCTAACCCTTTATCAGTTCACAATAACCTACAAGTGAACTCTGCCTGTTAGCATACAGCCAGTTATGATTTTGCTATCAATCAGGCGGCGAGCCAATAAAAGGAAAAGCCCGCCAGCTTGCCTGCCAAGAATTTCATGTCTTGTTTTATTTTGAGGTGTCTTCTTGGGCAATCCTTTCCCCTACGTTCCCCCACCACTTTCGCTAAGGCACCTCCTCTCCTGCAATTTGATTGCTTCCAGCAATAAAGCCAAAGTATTGCTGAAGCGTGCTTGAATTTCATTAGAAGGTATAACTTATGCTACTTTCCTGCAGTACCTAATAAACCATAAAGAAATCCAAACACCTATGGCTTAAGGGAATAACTGGAAAATTAGGTGGTCACTGGGGAACCGAATGAACTTTTGAACCAAGGAGACAGATGGGGGGGGGGGTATTTGTTGAAAATTTCTACAGGGAGACAGCAGCAGACAGATTTGAAAATGCATAGAGAGTTTTGGGGGTAGGACATAGACATTTTCTGAACCTACAAAAATGACACCAGCAATGTAAACACAAAGATTTAAGAGTTTACAATCCATCAAGGTTTGGCGCCTTCGTTCAAGCCTACTTTATTAAGGCAGCAGCCAAAAGGACGAAACAACTATCATATATGAAAAAAGGGCCTTTTGGTGACATGTTCTAATTTAGTTACACAATATTTATTGTTGAAATAATTGTCTTCTTATTAATTAATAAACTATTAGAAACAGGTCAGGGGGAAAGAGTAGGATTTTATCCCGTGATCACAAATAGAGTTTTCAATACATTACCCATTGTCCATTAAACATGGATGTCAAATAGACAACAAAATGGAGAATTATAAGAAAATCTTAAAGCCAGTGCTTAATTCATTAGGTGTGTTATAATCAATGTAGGAGAGTGGTCTGCATGTTAATGGAGAAGTCATTGGCTACTACCTAATAATGCTCAGATCTCTCATTTAAGTCCAGCAGTTTTGTGCTTCCACTGAAGTACAGTTGAAAGTTAAATACACGGTCCTGTGTGCTAGTATTTCAAATATATACATTTTTCACCATAATTGGTTCTACTGCTGTATTTGATAAACATGTACTTTGTGCTTAAAATGCTCAATAGCAACAAAAGTCTTAAGGACTTAGAGAAGTTTGCAAGAAAGAGAAGTGAAAGCTTCAGTTCTATGTCCACTTACTTGGGAGCAACTATTTGAACTTGATGGGATTCACTTCTGACATATATAGGACTATGCTCCCAATATAATTCATTACTACGCACATACCTATATATAAACCTGAGTGAATTTCTGAACACTTAAGACATTGAATGATACCTCTAGACCAGGGATGGAAAGTGTGCATCCCACCATCATCTGCAACTCTCATCATCTCAAGCATAGAGATAGTTAGAAATAATGGAAATTGCAATCTAACAACATCTGGAGGACCACACATTTCTCATCACTATTTTATGTGTGTGTGTCAGGAGCGACTTGAGAAGCTGCAAGTAAATTTTGGTATGAGATAATTGGCCATCTGCAAGGATGGTGCCCAGAGGACGCCTGGATGTCTTGAAGTTTTAGCATCCTTGTGGGAGGCTTCTCTCCTGTCCCCACATGGGGAGCTGGAGCTGACAGAGGGAGCTCATCAGTGCTCTCCCCGGATTCGAACCTTCGCCTGTTGGTCTTCAATCCTGCCGGCACAGTGGTTTAACCCACTGCGCCACCGGGGGCTCCTTATCCCTATTAGAGAGTTTTTCTAAAAAAAAATACCTTGTGTATATCCCACAATCACAGTTTATACCAAGAATAGCTGATAATCAAACTAGAAATACAGGAAAAGGTTTACACAATGTTACAATGAATGGTTTATTGTACCAGCCATAGGCCATGACATCAAATAATATACAACCTTTAAAAGTACAATAAGCACTTTCAATATAAACATTAAAACTTATTCCATCCTGGCTCTTTAAAATTATAGTAGCAATGACATTATAACAATAACAATAACAAATGTTAGATTTGTATCACCCCAAACTATCTCCATTTCCACTTCTAGCCTCTGCTATGGACTTTATGATATTATAATGTTGGTTTGTATTCCACATCAATTGTTACAGTAGTTGTGCAGAAGTATACAGCTGTATATAGAAAGTCAAATACTCTCACAAAAAAAATGCTTGTCGAGAGCCTAAGCTGTCATGTTTTAGGTACAAACCTTTCAATTCATCAACGTGTTTATATATTCAGTTTCTAGGTTACGACATTTTTCTTGCTTGTGATTTTCGATACTGTAAGTCCTTTTGAATTTTTTAATTGCGAGACCATTAAAATAATATTTTAATGAAAGAAATTAAATAACTGTTTTAAATTTGTTATCTACGTATTTATATTGATGATTCCTCAAGCGCAGGCAACAGCACCATTTAGCAATTCACTATGCGCTTTCACAGATAAAAAGAGTTGTCTATTTTTCTCCTTAAACAAGAAGGAAACATTGCTCATGTCTATTCCTTAGTAGCAGCATGCTATGGCCATAAAACACAGCAAAACGGGATGTTAGCGGCAGAATTGTTAGGATATAAAGCACTTTTGTCTTTATTCTGCTTTAATGCCCAGGGGAAAAATCAGTATAAAATTTCACAGAATCCGTTTTGCCAATAAATATATTTCTAAAGGTGGGCAAAAAATAAAAGGTAATTTTATTGCAGGCATTAAACTAGAAGCTTATGCTAGCATTTACTGAATTCAAAGGGAAAGAACTTGTGTTTGTTACTGCAATACAACCTACAGAGTTCTAGGACTATAAAGATCCCGTATTCTAAATCAGTTGTTAGGAAGGTTTATCACTTATGCATGTATTTGACTTATCCCTGTTCTGCAATAGATATAATTTTATACCTCATAAAAGCAATATATGTTTCCAAAGGGAATAATCAGGAAAACATAAAACGTGGAGCAGCACATTACAAGAAGCATGTTTTCCTGCAGCAATTGAGATGGAGCTGCACAGTTTGATCAGTATAAAGCCAAATAAATAAATAAACATCCATTCACTTCTAAGGCTAAATCTGAACAACCAATCAACCCGCATTGTTCTTGGTATATCTGTGTGATTTATCAGACATTTCTCAACAGTTTTTTTGAAAAAGACTGTTGCAAACAGTGATGCAAGTCATTTTTTATATCTTAGCTTTGAAAACAATATATAGGTTATAAGAATCTGTTTTTTAATACATGCGTCCTACAAACTTATCTGTTTTTGATGTCCTCTCCACTGCACAAACCATCAAATACAGTGTTCTGTTTCTTATAAAATAAGCAGAGCAAGCCATACATACATACATACAAAACAACATTTGTATGCTGGGTTAAGAAATTATTTATGTTTAGGAAAATTCTCAATGTATTTTAGGCAGTGATTCCTTAAGGATAGAGATAGAATCCATTCTGTTCATGGGGGAAATCAAATGAACAAGGTATGCATTTTAATTTTCTTCCACTGTGTGTTTTTTGCCACTAGAGTGTGCTCTTCAGTTCCTTAAGGGTCCAGTGATGGCAAGAAACCAACCCCACAACTTTCCTGAGACCTTACATATATTCACAGCCCAGCTGAGGTCAACAACTAAGAATACCAACAATACCTCCAATTCACCAAGTCTACTGGGATGCAAAGAGTTACTCACCATCATGGGGACCATCATCCTCTCTATCACGGTCAGATGCCAGGGAAAGATTGTCGGGCTGCATTGGACCTTCAATTTCCTCCACATCTTCGAAATCTCCTGCACAAATCAAACATTCATGAAGGGTTAAAACAAGTTCCTTTTAGTTCACCTATATTCACAAAGTAAAACAACCTCACAAGATGAGCACAGGAGTAAAACTCAATCTGCAACAGGACTCATCCATACCTCAGTGGTTGCAAGTTCAAACACAGTAAGAAAGCCAATGCTTACTGGTCAAACTGAGCCTCAAGACAGAGCTTAGAAAATTCAGTGTGGACTATAACTTTCAAAAATCCTCAGACATCATGGCCAGTGGATTTGGGAATTGTAGTTCAAACAATAAACTTTTCAAGACCCCTATACAGGTTGTCTAAATTAATTATAAAGACACTTCCCCAGTTTTTTCATTTAAAATGGAATTGGAAATATACCATGACATCGAACCACCAGAAACCAAAAGTGTCACTATCTTTTAAATTAATTCAGATTTTGAAATTCCAGACCAGGATACTCAACTTGTATCACACTGAGGTTATGATACAATTATTCACTCCTATGACTTTATCATAAAATTATTATTATTATTATTATTATTATTATTATTATTATTATTATTATTTTCATGGATTGAGTGTTGAATTAGCACACTCAAAGACCAGACTTTGAATCACCATTAAACTATGGAAAGCCAGTGGGTGTTCTTGGGCCAAGCTAAGAGAAAGGCAACGACAAACTCCCACTGAATAAATGTTGCCAACTTTCACTGTAGTAGCCCTAAGTTGGAAACAACTAGAAGACACACAATAACAATAATATATCAAGTGAGAGAACTGACAATTATGCACAAGAGAGGAAAAGTTTAATCCAATTTGTCATTAGCACTTCAACTAAATCAGTGGTTCTCAACCTGTGGGTCCCCAGGTGTTTTGGCCTACAACTTCCAGAAATCACAGACAGTTTACCAGCGGTTAGGATTTCTGGGAGTTGAAGGCCAAAACATCTGGGGACACACAAGTTGAGAACCACTGAACTAAATCATAGTTATGTTCAGCTAACATAGCATCTACACTGTCAAATCAATGCAGTTTGGCACCACATTAACGGCCATGGCTCAATGCTATGGAATCAATGGGGTTGTAGTTTCATAAGGTATTTAGGCTACTGCTTATGAATGCTGGTGCCTCACAAAACTACAACTACCAAGTTTCCATAGCATTGAGCCATGGCAATTAAAGTCTGGTCAAACTGCAATGAGTCCACACGTGCAGCCTTAGTCTGCAACCAATGTATAATGTCTGACCATTTCTCAGTATCTGTAGCAACTAGTATGTTATATTTCTTTATCACATTTTCTATTTATTGAGTTTAAGACAAAAGCACATGGTTCCTCTGCCAATTTTCACCTTATAACAACCATGTGGAGTACATTAAGCTTGAGAGACACTGAGTGGCCCAAGGTCATCCAGTGAGCTTCATGGCTGAACTCAGGTTTGTCTCCCAGGTCCTAATCCGATATTCTAACCATAACATCATGTGTTTTCTCAGAACTGTCATCATTACCTTCAACAGAAAAAAAACTACACCATTTCCTTTATGAAATACAGGGAACCACACAAAATTCGAAAACAGCATCCTTTATATACTACAGTAGCATGCATCTGACATAACACTGGCTTTAATACTTTTCCCTTCAGGACATAACATCCATGCAGTGAGAGATACCGTTTGCGACATTGCTATCACAATGTAGTCAAGTTTCCCTTCAGCATTAATTGGCTGCAGCAAATCTCAGGGCATGTGTGGCATGATATTCTTGCGACATGAACGCTTCATCACCCATCCACCTGGCAATTCAGCCACCATCAATCGCGCCACCACTCAACCCACCTTTCAGCAGCTTTGCGTGGGACAAATGCCATGTGCCAAACCCAGCCTAGATCCATTTACTTGCACTCATAACTTCAATTTAGTCTTATGAATGGCCTTTGGCTCCCAATCATTAAAGTTTGTGGATCTATGGCTACCTGAACACTTGGATACACTTCATTTCAGTGCTGATTTATAATGTTACATTGAGCTTTATAGACTAAAATGCAGAAAGTGACCACACATAGAAATGTAACACTGTCAGATCTTTTTAAATAAATGTTTAAACACAGCCTCCCATGAAAATATTGGAGTAAGTTCCTTGGACAAAGGCAGAATACAATGAATGGTTTTCATAGAAGTTTAGAAATTACACAAAGGATTTCACTTCTAAGTCAAATCAGACCTCAGTCATACACAATCCTACTACAGGTTGATTCTCCCTGGAACAAGAAGTGTTTTGGATTTCACTCGGGGCGGGAGGGAGAGATTTTAGATTACCTCATTTGCATATGAGACTCAAATCTAAATATGACATTCATTCTTCATATACATCTTATACACATAGTATGAAGGCAAATTTTATACTTTAAAAATGTGCATGAAATAAAAGTGTTTACACTGAACACCAGAAAGCAAAGGTCTCCCTGTCACAGCCATTGATTTTGGAATTTATAGTAGAGACTCACTTATCCAACCTTCGCTCATCCAACATTCTGTATTATCCAACGCAGTCTGCCTCCCCCCCCCCCCCCCCCCCCGGATCCACAACTATTTCAATACATTGTGATGTTTTGGTGCTAAATTTGTAAATACAGTAATTACTACATAACGTCACCATGTATTGAACTGTTTTTTCTGTTGACTTATTGTAAAACATGATGTTTTATTGTAAAATCATATAATTTGAAGTTGAATATGCTTTTCCTTAATCCCTTATTATCCAACATTTTCACTTATCCAACGTTCTGCCAGTCTGTTTATGTTGGATAAGCAAGACTCTTCTGCAGTTCAGGAATTCCAGACCAGGATACTCAATCTGTATCATAATAAAATAATAATTTTTAAAAAACTTTATTTGTATACCGCCATATCTCCCCGAAGGGGCTCATATTGTGTCTATGCTACAATTATTTGCTATCATGACTTTACCATTGAATCTATAATTCAATAAAAATAGTGATATAGGTTTTCTGGAAAAAAGTAAACCTGGAAAGTTTCTAGATAATGTTATTTGATGTAGCCTGCTTAGCTTAAATGTTATACGATACTATCCATATAAAGAGTGAATGTATTTGAATGTACTGTCTTGGAACAGCATATGCTTCCATCATACTTAATAAAAAATATTACCCCTGAAAGACCACTGTTTTAAGGAGAAATACACCAAAAGAGCTACCCCTGACATCTCTTCTATCAACAGTTTAACTTTCTTTTATAGAGATATAACCTCAGTTTCACTCACTCACATTCTATACTATGTATCAGTTCAATTTCAAATTAAGAAAAATCTAATTCAGTAAAAGTATCTGGATAGTTTATTTCACCAAAGGATTGACTGCAGTACAACAATCCAAGTAACCATGGAGACCTAGAAGGATGGTTAGGCGGACAGATAGATAGAGACAGAGTGGAAATTTTCCATGACAAAATGCAGCACTGGAAAACTTTACACCCATGTTTCTAGTTTAAAATGTAGATCACTTTACTCCTATGGTACATTATAAATACATATACAGGTTTTATAATAGTTTAGATCCTGCATCTCAACTACAATTTCAGAGTTACCCATGTCTGCTGAAACCTTCAAAACCCCAGGACTCATCCATGATTGAGATGTGGCCACATCAAAATCCTCCACAGAGTATAGAATCAAAATCACCATATCTATTTAGAGTAAAAGTATGAACACAACTTCCCATAACTTCTCACCACATTCTTCCCCTAATTGCATCAGGAATTAAGATGAAAAAACACTTAAAATGTACAGGATAGAACGTGTTTGTGTATTTTAAAAACACACTATCACTAATCTATTAACTGATATTTAAAACCTGCAAAGGTTATTTAAGCTGGATTGTTTCTTGTAAATTGAGAAGTGAATGAATGTGAACACCAGGATATGATGAAAACTAACAGATCAAATCATAGCAAAATGTTATAAACCAAAGGTTGGAAAAGGTAGTTTCCTAGATTATAAGGTACAGAATCTCCCAGCCTTAGGTGGTTGCATTCCAAGTTGCCTTCAGGTTCTGGCTAAAATTCACACTTTACAGAACATACAAAAATTACAAGTTTAACAAAAAATCACAAAGCCTTCTTTGTCATGTGAAGGCATGCAATCATGCACATAGCATTGTCTCAAGAAAAAAAAACATTTTGAACACACAGGAAGATTCAAAACCACCTTTTCCTGGGATGGATTAAGCTCTGGTTTCTTTTTAAAAAAATAAGAGTCGACCCAGGTTTTTGGGGTAGGCTTTTTGACTAATTTTCTGGATCTATACATGACACATTATCTGATGCCTCAATTCATTAATTTTAGCTATAGTTTCTCCTTGGAACTCATTGCCTGCAGATACACGTATGATTTACTATCTTCCCTTATTAAATAAGCATCTCAAGATATCTTTATTTTCTCAGGTTTTCTCTGTGCCAAGATTCTATTTTTACTTAACATCTATTCTCTGTCTCCTCACCCACTCCTTCCTTTTCCTCACTGTGTTTGCTTCAATTGTAAGCCTGGAGGGCACTGTCAGTTTTATACTTCCCAGCACCTTGCCTTTCACGTGTTAAAAGACATATTGTGGTGACACAAAGGCTCTTCACATCTTGCATCTTAGGACCTCATCACACTAGATCCTGCTGCTACCTCCTGCAGAATTCTGGGCTATGTAGTTTAGTGAGGTCCAGGACCGCTCTAGCTGAGCAATTCAAAGGCCCCTTCCTAAACTACAAACCCTAGTGTGATGAGGACCTTTGTTTAATGGACAAACCATTTCAAATGAAAAACAATGAGTAGGATTCTTGACTACCTTATATACTCATATGTAAGTCTAGAAATGTTTGTCAAAAAAGCAACTCCCAAAACCTGGGTCAACTTATCCACAGTCAATGTGAGTATCTTACCTTAACTCTTATCAAAAAAGGAACTGTCCCCTTTCCTGAGCTGAGTAGCGAAAGTTGAGAGT